GAAAGTTATGAGATCTATTTATGTGTTTCTTCCTTTCTTTTTTTATTTATTTTAAATCAAACTAAGGGTAAATGACCATTTAATTAAAAAAAAAAAAGACCTTTTAGCGGTCAATCTGACGTCCTCCGTCCAAAAATGTCCCTGATGCTGAAGTTTGCAAGGTTTGGAAAACTCCTGGTGCTAGAAATCAAAGGTTCGAATCCCAGGTGCAATTTACCCTATTTTTTCAAAAAGAATCCGAAGTTCCAGAACAAAATCATCAAACCCAGAATAATATAAAGAAGGAAGCAGAGATACTGACGAGAGAAGAGAGAGAATCAGAAGGAATCCAAGCCCAATCTCAGCTTGTGAAGACAGAATGCTAAGGGTGGTTGTGTTCGAATCAACCCAAACACAGGCCTCTTCAAAGTATTTCCTGCAGAATCCACATAATTCAGTCCCAGACATTAAAGAAAGGAACTTGTATGGAAACAAATAAAGCATCTAGATCAATTCAGTCATGTCAATCTCTCTACTTGTCCTACAAAGGAATGCATAGAACCATAACTATGGTTATCAAATAAAACTGTCAGTTGGTTCATGAAAATTCTACTCAGAATTTTTCCCATTACATCTCTTTCTAGTTCAAGCAAAGGCCACCATCACATCACATATATTTGTTCTTAGCAGCATTTATCGTATGGATCAGACACTTCACCAGTTAGTTGCAAGTGGACCCATGTTGTCTTTTTCTAACATTAAAAGAAAGTAATAACACTATTGATTTGCAAATTTGCCAGTTGGAGACTTGAGTTCACAAAACTGGCATGAATTAGGCTTTTATTCGAATTCAAGATTTTAGGAGTCCTCCACCCAACACGACTTAACTTTAGGCATACACGGATCACATATTAACAAATAAGAAGCAACTATTTATTCCCTTGAAATCCTCAAATGATGGATTCTATCTAAATAATTCCCCAAAGTTTTCTTAAATTTTTGTATAGTAGAAATTTACCATTCAATATTCTAACATTAACATAGAAGTAACAAATCCCATCCGATATACAGCCTAGTAGCCCAACACACCAATATAAAAAACTCAAAAGAGCGCCTAAAATTACTACAAACAAATATTTATGGTTTCCTTAGCAGCACCATGTCAATACAACCTGAAAGAAATGCAAGCCCACGTTAAGAGATTGGGGAACTATATCTCATATAAACCAAAGAATATATTATGAAATGCTTCCACGACTATATTTCAGCTCCGCACAAGATTTATTTCACTGAGAAATGCCACTGGACAATCATAATATTGAAGAAATTTGAAGCACTCTACAATTCCAATCAAATCTGCAATTCGAATACACGTACATTCAGACTTCCTTACCTGTACAAGGTGGATCTGCTAAAGTTACGCCTAAGAAACTTTGCAACATGCTGAAGGGACAAGCACAAAATTGGAATCAAAGCAACTGTGAACATAGAACATCAGCATATTATGTGCATGGAGAGGCGGAGCTGGTATAGATTAGGCAAATAAGACGAAAAAAGCAGCATAACAGAAGTGGAGTAATGCTAACATTTTAGGCACAGATTTGAAGTGATAAAGGTAAGGCAGTAGATAGAGTAGATAAAATCTTTGGTAACTGCCACCGATTGAAACCAAACTTGCAGAGCCTGCAAGTTCCATGCTCTAGGTTTCTGCAAGCAATGACTAGTTACTAGAATCGGTGAATCTGTGAATAGAACATAAATCAAGCACAGGAAAAGATAATTAATAAACTAACTGGAAACTACCCCATATAATGAATATAATGAATACAGAGAAGAACATGCAGTCCCCATGAAGGAAAGCCGAAATGCCCTGTTTGACAGATTCTTAGGAACAAGAGGAAAGATTGCAAGAACTGCCACAACAAAAACCTGCAAGGAAAAACATGTACACCCACAATCTTTTAATAATAAACTGAAAATTAATAAGAAGGTGTGCGTAATACAACAGCTTAGGGAAATAACATCGACCAAAAATAAAGGGAGAAATTAAAAATATTCGTCTTAGAATCTCATTAGCAATCATAAGGTTTCCAAATCAACACAGATGCAGATGTACTGCTCTCATGATTAAATCCACATTCAAAAAAGGGGCATACCAACCTCAGTCCCAACAAGCAAACTGCTAGGTAACCTTGATTTCGTGACTCTTGATCTCCCAATTACAATTCAGTTGGGAAATAGGAACACGAGATTAATTAACAGAATTATCCTAAAAGCAACAAGAAAGCTTAAGATTTTCAAAGAGAACAAGATTACATTAGAAATGGTGAGCTAAAATCAGAAACCTGTTGGTAACTGAAAAATGAATAAAAATATAATAGACATCTGATAGACTCCCAATCCAGTTCACTTACGCAAGAAGGGAGAAAAGGAATGAAACATCCAGCATGGGGGCTGCCAAGTCAGTTAGTCATCAGCTAGGGGTAAAAGAGTAATAGTATGTAGTAGGAGAATTTCAATAAATGTGAAGGAAGGTAGGATGTTGGGATCATTCAGTCCACTGGAATTCAGTTAGAGGGGGAGAGACTGGGACTCTCTAATAGCCTTGGATTTTGTCCGTTACTTTTCAGTTCATTCTATCAATACACAATCATATGGCTATTATCAACCATTGAGTTTTTTCTGTTAATCACAATTCCTGCAGGTTATCCTTAAGTAAGGTCATCGGCGGAAAGATAACACCAGGGTTCCTATCAACATCCCACCACAAGAGCATAATTTTAGCCATAAAAAGGCTGTAGGAATTATGGAAGGCATAAGAGTCACACAAGTAACAATTATCTAATATGGTGATATAGTGAGAAACTTGGACCAAATTTTTTTGTTTCTAAAGTATATTTAAGAAAAGCAGAGATAAAATCATTTCAACCTGGAATATTTGGTATATACTGAGAGAGCGATAGAGACAGAGAATTTTTAACATTCATGGCAATATCAAAGAAAATATTGAAAAGTGCAATAACAAAAAAAAAAGGCAAGAAAGGAGGTAGAAAACTTAAGAACCTTAATAAGTTAAAAATTATTGGGGACTAAGTTATATTTCAAAGGGACTCAATTCATTTTCTTTGTTTCACAATTTATATTGACAAAAATAAAATTTCCAAAACCCCCTTCCTGTCATAGGTGGTGTTATGATATTAGAATTAGCTATCAATATTAAGTGCTTAGAAGATAGGAACATTATCAAACACTATCAAAAATGGAAATTCTAGGGAACAATACCCCTCTTAATAGAACACTTGTTATAAAAGTCAATTTGTATTTTTGAAGTCTCAAGGTGGAAGTCAAACAACTCAAAGTTAATTTGGAACTTTCGAGGCAGTTACATTACAAAAGCAACTGATCATAACCCAAGCTTTCATTACAATCAGCATGGTACATACATCATAGAATTAGGACCCTGCAGATTTGATATATCTTAGACAACAAGATTACACCAAAATTATGTATGAAATCTTAACTACAAGAACTTGAAAACATTCCACTTTTGGGGTCACTGACGTACTTTCCTTGATACTGGAAACAGATCAGTTGATATTTTGGAACATTGAAGAAGCCATAGCTCTCGATGTTATTAGCTCTTGAACATAAATGTTTTTGTTCTCACATCTTCCTAGCGTATCTGTGTATATATTAGACTTCTAATGTAAGAACAAAACATACCCAAGCATTGACAGAAAATTGAATAGTTTGTCTATCCCAACGCAGAGATGTTGAATTTGGAGCTGGAGTTGTGGATATGCCAGTCGTTCTACTTGTATAACCTACGAATGAATTTAAGTAGAGTTCAGGTAGATAGCATATAAAGAGAGTGCAAAACATTGCATACCAATAATTAAAAATTTCAAATTATGAAGCATTAACTATCAGAGGCTGAAATCTAGACCTGAGTTCTGTGCATTTGAATTACTATTTGTTGTAGATGTTGAAGATGCTGCCGCTCGCTGAGATGTACTGCCAGTAGCCATTGGCTCAAGAATCAGATCAGGATCCTGCATAGTAAAATACATCATATTAACATAAAATAATCTCTCTCAAGGGGGAGCCTACAGGAGAAACATGTTTTACCTAGATTCTTTAATGAATGTAAAAGCAGATAAGCCATATAAAAAACCACAGAAAGCCAGAGACCCATAAAAGTGCTATGTTTACGGCCATCATTATCACTCCAAAAGTCCATCATGAATCTGTGAATACAAGTCTCACAGTCACGATTTCACATATAAATGGACATAGAGAAATGGCTTTAATCAGTTCAGAAACTGTTATCTGAACTGCCAACTTGAAAAGTAGGCAGAAGTTATAAAATTAAAAATCGAACATATCTTGTTCAGATTTTGACGCTCTGAGGTCACTAAATGAACCAAAATAACGGAGTCAGAAAAACAAAAAAGGAACACGAAGCAACAAGAAATGTACAGTATTAATATGAACACCAACGCCCATTTTAAAAGGACAGTCTAAAATTACAAGAAAACCATTAAATTACAACGAGAAAGACAGTTTCTGAATTAAAAAGGCCAATAATCAGACACTGAAATGAAAAGTACAGTCCAAAACCACATCCTCAGATTCTAACATCCGGTTTTATCAAATTGTTCATCTTTATCTACCTGACGACAACGGTAAATCATTTGAAACGTAGAAAAATACACCCTAACTGCGTTACATTAATAGCTACAAATTATCACATGCCTTCATATTAACTACACAAACACACACACACACACAAAGAGAGAGAGAGAGAGAGAGAGAGAGAGAGAGAGCAAATAAGATTCGATTCATGAAATCACACATAAACAAAATTCCAAAAACCTAAAAAATGGGTTCACACCATATACTCTCTCAACTACAGAAATAAATAAATAAATAGCAAAATCATCTTACAACGTAACGCTGGTAGAACTTGCGCTTGTAGTAGTTAATAACATCGGAGCGGGATGCCATGCTGGGAGGAATAAGAATGTTTGACCAATAATCCGCCCATCGTGGATCGTTGTCGTAGTCGTAAGCCGCCGCAGCCATTGTCTTCAATTTCTGAGGATCTTCTCCTCCTTCTCCCATTTCTTTCAAACTATTACGAGTCAAGATTTACACTCTGTCGTCTTCGATGCGATTAGTCATCGTTTACTAGAATTGTATTTTTTTTTTATCGTTCAAACAATACAATTACTTTTGCATTCATATGCACGGCTGGCTCTCCGTTTTACTTCAAGTAAAATCTCCATCAAGATAGCACTTTTCTAATTAATATTAAACAATAATTTCAATTAAACATTTTTATCTTTAGAATAGTATTACTTACAATCACTCAATAATCACCATATATATATACAGAAATGATCTAATGAGCACCGGTGCTCATCTTATCCTAAGCACCGATGAGTTGGCACATTAATTCATTGGTGGATAAAGATTTTGTGAGTTCCAATCCACCAATGAATTAATGTGCCAACTCATTGGTGTTTAGGATAAGATGAGCACCGGTGCTCATTAGATCATTTCTGTATATATATCTTATCCTAACCACCGATGAGTTGGCACATTAATTCATTGGTGGATTGGAGATCATTTCTGTATATATATATATATATATATATCGGTTAATATTTTGATGCATAAGACAATTAAAAACTACTGTAATAATTTATCAAATTATTAATCGTTCACATGTATGTCATGTGGGACAACTTTGATAGTAAACGACTATAGATATAATTACTTGTTTGTTTAATTAGGCAGACAGCGAATATAAAATTTCACACGTTAATCTCTACTACCCGATCAAATAAATAAATGTATAAAAAAATCTCTCTACACCTCTACAAAAATATAAATGAGAATTTAAATTATTTTGAGGTATAATTACCGTTGAGGTTTCAAATCATTACAAAAGAACATCATTATGAGTACAGAAAATACGCTTGGAATGTTTTTATTGAAAGAAGAAAAAAAGGCAAACAGGGTGCTTACGTGCAACACCCATGTTAGTTGCAACACCCATGTTAGTTGCACGTCAGCACCCTATTCAAATTCTATAGAAAAATTTTTTACTTGAAGTTTTATTGATTAAAAAATATCTAAATTTTATCTAAACCTTTGATTTGTAACAGTGCTGATATGAAATCTTTCAAATTGATGCAGCGAAAGGATCTCTAGACGATTTTTCGTCCAAAAATTCAATAGTTGACCAAAAGTCAACATTTAACCATAATTTGACAAATTTCAAAAGGATAAAATGGTCTTATAAATCTTATTAATAAAAAATGGTAATTTACATCAAAAGTCCCAAACTTTTAGAAAATGTATGGCGGAGATCCCCAAACCTTTAATAAATGTGTGCCTAAATGACCTCTAATGATTTTCATCCAAAAATTTGTTAGTTGACAATAACGTTCATCTTTCCTGATCCACGCAAAATCCATCCGTAACGACTAACTTGTAATCCACCAACCCTATCATTCAGTACATAGGGGAGAATCCGCCATCATCACTATCGTTGATTTTTCATATACAAATTCTCCTATGTACTTTCTATCTTTGTTGATGCAGCCATTCCTCATCACCTTTGCTCATGTATTTGTTGCTTTGTTTCGGGGTCTTCTTCTTTCCTTTGCCAATTCAGGTGGTGTATCACCATTTTTGGTAGAATAAAGCATGACTTTGGTAACGTCAAAATAATATTAAACTCCCTATTTGATTTCCTTTACTTTACTTTAATTTATTTTATGCTTAGCCCATGTTTGACACACATTATTTCAAAATACATTTTTTCAAAATTCATTTTGGGTTAATTTCACAAACGGTCACTAAACTTAACCAAAAATAACAAAACGGTCGCTGAAATTCAAAACTTGGAGAAACGGTCACTGAAATTTCATGTGTTTTCACAAACGGTCACTGGAGGACCGTTATGCCATTAATTCAAACATAAATGACCAAAGTGAGCACGGTCGGATTTTGGACAGTTTGGAGGTGCCAACTTTGGACCACCATAACTCAGTCATCTGACCACCTTTTTCCATGGGCCAATATATCATATTGAAGCCTTCAATGCCCTCTTAACAATCCATCCAACCACTGGTCGTGATCCCATCAGAATTGGCCGAAAAATCGATCCAAAGTGAGCTACCGGATTTTGGACAGCTAGGAGATGCCAATTTTGGACCACCATAACTCCGTCCTCCGGCCACCTTTTTCCACGGACCAATATACCATATTGAAGTCCTCAATACCCTCTTCAAAACCCACCCAACCACCTACTGTGATCCTGTCGGACTTGGCCGGAAAAAGGAGCCAAAATAGGCTACCCACGCACATCCGGATTTTGGACAGCAGGCTCTGCATGGGTAGCCCACTTTGGCTCCTTTTTTGGCCAATTCTGACGGGATCACGGCCTGTGGTTGGGTGGATTTGAAGAGGGCATTGAGGGCTTCAAATGGTATATTGGTCCATGGAAAAAGGTGGCTGGAGGACGGAGTTATGGTGGTCCAAAGTTGGCACCTCCAAGCTGTCCAAAATCCTGGTAGCTCACTTTGGCTCTATTTTTCAGCCAATTCCGACGGGATCACGGCCAGTGCTTGGGTGGGTTGTTAAGAGGGCATTGAGGGCTTCAATTTGGTATATTGGGTCGTGGGAAAAGGTGGCCGGAGGACGGAGTTATGGTGGTCCAAAGTCTGCATCTCAAAACTGTCCAAAATTCGGGTTAGTTCACTTTGGTCCTTTATGTTTGAATTAAAGGCAAAACGGTCCTCCAATGACCGTTTGTGAAAGTGCATGAAACTTCAGTGACCATTTCTGCAAGGTTTGAACTTTAGTGACCGTTTTGTTATTTTTGCGTAAGTTCAGTGACCGTTTGTGAAATTAACCGCCCTACTATAAAATCCATTATTTTTTGTGCACGACCTTTAATATTTCTTCATCCTTTTGTTTGAGTAAAAGCTGAATCTTCGGTTCATATTTCTTGATAAGTAAATGCAATTTGTTG